CAACAGATACAACCCACCACTGTTTACAGAGCAGTTCACATTCCCTGACAACTTATCTACAACAGATACAACCCACCAGTGTTTCAAATCTCTCATCTCCTAGGTATATATACACAACCCTCATTTCTATTTCACAAATTGAAATGGCAAAAACTGATGAATAATTTTGATTAAATCTAAACAATGAACAAAGAAGATTTATCATGACGCATAGAAGTTAGTTTTTAACTTTAAGGAATTCTCACTAATGTTTAGTTACTACAAACTTACGACAGCCACGTTCGTCTGAGGCATCCTCGCAGTCCATGACGGCATTACACACGTGGAGAGCATCCACACACTGGCGGTTAGCACACCTGTACTGGTCTGTGGAACACTTGACCGGGCGTGGTGTACCTATAAACCGAGGTCATGAGAGGTCAACAGAGGTCAATGAGTCCACGGGCAGAGGATAATAGGTTTACTGGATCATTGGATTTTTCTTTAATTAGGATAGATTTGGTAAATTCATGAATGATTGAAATGGAAATGAAATCACTCTAACAATGTCACCAGTAGGCGTTACAGCTTACATAGGTCAATGTCGTTTTCGTCAGAGCCATCCCCACAGTTGTCGACCTTGTCACATAATCTCCAACGAGGAATACATTTGAAGTTGTCGCAGCGGAATCGTGTCTCTGGTGGGCAGTCTATCAGCTGACAGATTGCTGGTCGTTCGTCAGAACCATCACCGCAGTCGTCGTTTCCATCACAGCGCCATCGACGAGGAATACAGATCTAAAACGTACCACAATTCAGGTCCTAAATTGGAACACATCAACACTTTAACGAGGAAAACATTCCTATTAAAATATCCACTAACACTAAGTTAGATAAACGTCTATCAGTTATCGGCAATTAGGTATTAAGTGGTTATGCTTGATCAATATTTATTTATTTTTATTTTTGCATTGATGTGTAAAACCTGCAACCACTAATGAAACTGTCTTACTCTCCAGTCACCACTAATCAAACTGTCCTACTA